CAGCCTGCCTGGCAGAGGTGGCTCAAGAACTCTATGTTCCTCTAGGATCTGCATCACTGTACACTTATGATGTGCCAGCCCGAGGCGGTGCCCTTGGGTGAGCCTTGGTAGTCTTCCCAAAAGTCTAATGAGTGGTGTGACAGATGGGGAAACTGAGTCTGAGAGAAGTCACATGATTTCCTCAGATGTCCAGGCCTCAGATGTCAGGGCTGAGACTTAGCTGGGAGTCACATGCTGATCCAACAGCCTGTGTGCACGTCACTGCACTGCTGGGATCAGGGGGAGGGCTAGAGACTTTCCGAAGGAACAGGAAAGAGGGAGACTCTCCAAGTAGAGATAGAATAACTGGTAGGTATCTCCATACCACCACAAGGCTCAACCTTGCAGGGCACACAGTAGGTCTAAATGCTAGGGCACATAGTTAATCTAGATACCAGAGCATGCCGTAGGCATAGATCAGGGCAGACAGTGGATCTAGAGTCCAGAACACATAGCAGGCCTGGATGCTGAGGTGCACAGCTTGTCGAAATATCAGAGCACACAGTAAGGCTGAGATTCCAGGACATATAGTAGGTCTAGATGCAGGTCACACAGTAGGTCTAAGTCTGTGCGCAAATGTGGCCCTCTGGCCCCGCACACTGCAGAAGCTGCAGTGTCCAACCCTCATCCTCCCCTAGATGAGACTCAGGCAAGCAGGCAAAGGAAACACTCCTCCTGTTCCCAGCTTTTCAAAAACACAATTACTCGCCCTTCAGAGACTCCGTCAGTGTTGGTAAACTCCAGCCGCTAAACTGCATTGCCCCTATCTGCGCACAAACGCTGCCGTTATTAATAGTTTATCGACCTGATCTCAGGCCATCACTGATGAGAGCGGTCTCCTCCCCACCCCCTGGGCCCCCTGCTGCCTTCGAAGACCTTCTATCCAGCCTTCGGATCAATGCCTCTCAGTGCTGGGGGCGGGGTAGGCTCTGGGCCACTTAACCCACTTTCCGAGGACAACAGTGGAAGCAAGATCTCAGGGTTTGATGAAGGAGAAGAGGCGGTTAGGTGTGGATCAAAGCTGTGACCTGGCAGCTTTGGATCGGAGATGAGAGCCAGCGCGAGCCTGGGGATGAGTCTGCGTCTGGATTCGGATGGTAGCTGAGATAGGAGAACGGCAGCGCGGGGTGTCCAGGGACTCTCTTATCTTGGCTACTTTTCCATGATTTAAGATTATCCCAAGTAAAAACGTTATCTTATAAAGCAGGAACAAGGTGTATGCAGGAAGAAAGGGCGAGAACAGAGGGGCTGTGACTGAAGGGAGGGAGGGAGGGAGGGGGGATGAGGAAGCTGAGCAGGCTCTGTGGGCAGCTCCCGGCCCTTTCTCCCCAAAGCTTTCAGAGTGGTTTAGAGGGGAGGATGTGGTCTGGATGCTCCATGGAAGGGGGATTAAGAGGTACAGAAACCCCACTTGAATCCTGAGCTTGGCTTCGGGACAGAATGGGCAGGGATAGCTTGGAGAAGGGGAAACGGGTCAGGAGTCATGAAGAGGTGGACACCCAGGTCCTGGCCACTCACTGCCTGGGAGTGCGGAACAAGAGCTGTCAGCCTTGTGCCCAGTGAATGATGTGGGTTAATGGTCAAGCCAGGCCAGGCATAAAACCTGGAGCCCAGCAAGGAGCACCGAGTGGAGCTGGGGAAATAGACCCAGATGGGAAGCTGTCTTCTCTTTAAAAGCATCACGCCACCACGTGTCCACTGAGCTGTCTTCCACACCACCTGCGAGGTGTCACCCACACATCACCCAAACATATTGCTTATGTTACTGTTACTTGAGCATGTCATCAGCGGAGTGATCCCCAAACACGTCCCCAGTGCTGGGATCATATAAACACATCTGCATAGACAGCCCATGGGGTGGTCACCTGCCTGCCTCTGCCCATGCATCAGCGAGGCACCCACTATCTGGTGACATCACCCAGGAGCCTCCGGCTGCATCCATCCCCTGAGCCTGTTTCTTTACACGCCCCCCTGCACCTGTCTCCCTCGAAAGTCACTTAAGCAGGTCGACTGCATAATAGACACCTGTGAGGATAGCCGAAACATGTCAGTTAAGGTGGTTGTCACTCAGCTAGCATGCACTTGCTGTTCTCAATCTAGCTGAGTTACAAAGAAAATCATTCCCAGGGGAGACAGGTTCCCTGCTGTTCTCACTGTCAAGGCACTTTCCTCCGAAAGGAGGAGTGGAAGGGGCGGGGGCGGCATCTCCCCCCATACGAAAAGGGGCGCTCCCCACCCTTCAGTCCTTCCTGACAGTGAGGAGACCAGATGGCAACCTCTGTGTAGTCTATGGAAATGAGGGTGTTGTTTATGCTAATGAGTGCTGGGTGCTGTGCAAGGGAGGGGCTGCTAGGGGAGCTGGCTCAGCTCAAAGTAACAGCTTAGGAAGAGGCTGAGAGCCCAGGTGGGGGGAGTGGCATGTGAGGGGGCTGGGTCACAGAAGTGACTCATACGCAAAAGAAGCTGAGCCAGGCTGGAACCTGAGGTTAAACTGCTCCTCGCAAGATGAAAGAGAAGCTTGGAGCAGTCAGCGGGGGAGGAGGGATTGCACACAAGGGGCCTCCCCGCTCAGGAGCCACCCAGGAAGATCCTTGAGTTGATAATGGCCTCTCTATGCCCTGTGGGCCTCAGCAGAATGGCTGGGCCAGTTAGGTGGAGGACCATGAACAAATGTGAGTGCCTCTCCTGGTTTTCTGCCTGCTCTGGGAATGCAAACATTAACACTGACACAGGAAACAGGCCAGTATAAGCAGGGACTTGATGAGAGATTTGCATTTGCCCAATGTAAGACCAGGCTGAGGCTCCTGCTGGTCAAAGTGCCTGGGTACTCCTTGGCAGGAATCCTCTCCTCTGGGGGCATCACAGAGTGAGAGCCACTCATAGCCTCTGGGCAGGTGTGTGCAGTGCTCTCAAGTGTTTAGTAAAGTCTATCTTCAGTCCTGGGATGTGTCATCTCTATTTTTTTTTTTAATAAGAAAGTGGGTGCTGAAAAGTATGGCTTCCCCAAAGTCCCATGGGTTCCACACACAGAAGCATAATTTGAATTCTGTTCTCAGAGCTCTTTGCAATCAAGATGGCAAAAAGGGACTGACCCAATTGTGACTGTACCTTCCAGGAGAAAGAATAGCATGACCTGACCCTGTAGACCCTGTAGAAAGATCTAGAACAGGAGTCATCAGACTATGGTCTGTTTAGCCACAGCTTGTGAACTAAGAGCATTCTAACAATTTTAAATGACTGAAGGTGAAAAAGAAAAGTATAAGGATATTATGTGACATGAACATTCTGAGCAGCAGAAAGCCTGACAATCATGCATAAAGTTTTATAGGAATCCCAGCTTGTTGTTTGATTGACAGACTCTCTTCAGCTGTCTGTGTGCTTATGAGGAAACAGTGAGAAATTACAAGAGATCAGCTTTAAGACTTTGTTTAGATTCGTTTTAAGTTGTATGTGTATGAGTGTTTTGCCTGCATATATGTATATACCCCATGTGTGTGCAGCACCTGTAGTGGCCAGAAGAGGGTGTTGGATGTCCTGGTACTGAAGTTACAGACAGTTGTGAGCTGTCCTATGGGTGCTGGGAATCAAACTTGGGTCCTCTACAAGAGCAACAAGTGTTCCTAACCACTGATCCATCTCTTCCAAAACGTGTGTGTGTGTGTGTGTGTGTGTGTGTGTGTGTGTGTGTTTTAATTTGCCTATATGTATCTTATATATGTCTTAAGGGTGGGTGTGCACATGAGTGCAGGGACTCACAGGGGCCAGAGGTGTCAGATCTCCCTGGAGCTGGAGTTACAGGCTCTTATGAACCACCTAATGTGGATGCTATGAACCAAACTTGGGTCCTCTCCTAAGGTTCAGAGCCATCTCTCCAGCCCCAAGAGCAACTTCAAGGGGGAACAAAGCCTGAAATATTTGCTCTTGAGCTTTTCTAACGGAGAGGCAAGAGGGAACTTTGAAGGAACTCCCACACCCCAGATCTGGGGACCTTGGGGGAAGAACCAGTGCTCCTCAGCCCACCCTCTGCTGAACACACATGAGTGTGGAACACTGGTCAGTTTCCCTCTGTCACTGTCCACCAGGATGGAGACTCCTTGGGGACAGGAATGTAATATGCTTCTTTTGGTGTCCATGGGACAGGCTACAAAATGACCCTTTGGCAGTACGAAGACAGGACTCCAAGGTCTCACAGTGACATCTTAGGTGTACAAAGTGGGGCAGTCATAACCATCTCGTGCCTCAGTTTCCCTGTTTATGGAATATAGTGATCAACCCCTGCATTGTGGCTGTGGTAGGTTGCATGGGAATGGCCACCATAGGTTCATCTATTTAAGTGCTTAGTTCCTAGTTGCTGGAACTGTTTGGTAAGGATTAGGAGGTGTGGCTTTGTTGGAGGAGGTGTGTCACTAGGGTTGGGCTTTGAGGTTTCAAAAGTCCCTGCCAAGTCCAATCTCTCTCACCTACTGCTCCAGTGCCATGATGGTCATGGACTAACCCTCTGGAACTGTAAGCAAGTCTCTAATTAAATGATTTCTTTTGAAAGTTACCATGGTTATAGTGTCTCTTTGCAGCAATAGAACAGTAACTGAGACGATGGTGGTTGTGATGAATGAGTGGGGTCAGGCCTCATGCTGGTAGCAGCTAAGCCTGGTTCCTCAAAGCATGCATCACCTACAGGGTGTCCTAAGAGTTGCACATGACCAGCCCAGCAGGTGCTCCTGGGCACAGATTTAGCTCAGACTGAACATAGCATTCACTGTCCCCCTCTGCCACACCGGACACAGAGCCTGTACACAGTGGGTGCTACACAAATGCCATCTTCCTACCAGTCCAGATCACAGGTGTGCAATGTCTTTGCAAAGTTGGTGAGTGGAGCCTGGACAAGTGTGTACTGCCGTTGGCCTCCTGGAACACTACCTACCCACCCTTGCAATCCTTACCTTTTCTTCTGTTTCCTGCAGGTTACCTGAGGTCCGGATCTCAGACAATGGTCCCTATGAGTGCCATGTGGGTATCTACGACAGAGCCACCAGGGAGAAAGTGGTCCTCGCCTCAGGCAACATCTTCCTCAATGTCATGGGTGAGTCAGTGTCCTGGGAATGAGGGACATGGGTGTGTGCAGCACACACAAGCAGGCTCACAGAAACTGTCCTGGGACACATGGTCAAATCCCTATGGTTTATGTATAAGACCCTCTCCCATCCACTGCCCTTGGCTGAGAGGAGGAAAAGGCCAGACTGTAGCAAGGCTGTGAATGTGGAACCTGGCCCCAACAACTTCGTGCTAGGGACCCATTCACTTCCCAGTCCCAAGCTGTAAGGACCCAGAGTCTGTGCCTTGTCCCTGGTCTCCACATGCTAGTCTGTGACGGGCTGCTTGTTGATTGGACTAAAGGAGTCACCGAGGGAAGATGACTGATATTCAGAGACAGCAGGCTACCACAGCCCCGGAGCCACATTTATAGAAGGTTGGCAAGGGAGGTTATACTCTTGAGCCACCCAGCTATAGGCCCTGGGGCATGGTATGGCTGGTGGAGGAAGGCTCAGAGCCTGCAGCCATTGCAGCTGCTTTTCCCAGCAAAGGCCAAGGCCCTGAAGCATGTGCTGTGAGAATCTGCTACAGGGGATGACTGCCCAGGAGCCTCCAGGGAGGGAACCCAGCACCTCTGAAGTGATACACTTCAGAGACACCCCTGTGCTCCTCCCAAGTCTTTTCTGGGGGGTATCAAAAGGCCGGGGAGTCAGAAAACATTCTGAGCTGAGTGTTAGGGCTCCTGGGTTCTCACTCTGACCCTGTGTCTTCATTTGTGCATCTCTGACAAGGGATGGCAATACTGGTATCTGTGTCCAGGTGATGTGTCATTGGCTGAATCAACCCTCACCCAGCCTTAGTTTCCCCACTGGAAATGCAAAGGCCTTGCTCTGAGTGGTCTTGGGAAGTCCCACTGGCACGATGCTCTTGCCAGAGGAACTGCCATTCTGTGGCCACTCCTCTGCAGGAATGCTGAGACTTGGCTTTGACCCAGCCTCTGTGTCTCTGTTTTTCTTATCAAATAATATTTGTCAGGGCAACAAAGCCTGCTGTACTCTGCCAATCAATGAAAGCACAAAGGCCCTGTGGAAAGTCCTCGATCTAGGGAAATTGAAAACCTCCAAAGGCCAGACCTCCGGAGCAATATTGATCCCACCACAGTAGCCTGGGGAGGAGGTGGCATTGCTGGGCAGACTGGCCAGCTCCTCTGACAGAGCATGTTCAGTGCTCAGCCCTGTACTGGCCACCCCAAGGAAGAAACAAGCTCAGCCTGCACCATCAAGGGGCTCCCGGTCCAACAAGAGAGACAGATCCCCTTATTTACTCATCAAATGCTAATGGAGCATCCAGGGCACCTGCTCTGGGCCCAGAAACAGGGACAAACTTTGAGTAGAACGAAGTTCCCATCCTTGGTGGGTTTGCAGTGCAGGGAGTGAGCCAGCTATACAACACCTGCACAGATAAAGCGATAAGATGGCAGGAGATTTCGACAGATACTGGAAGGAAAGGAGAGGAGGGTGATGGATGAAGAGGATTGTAAGGAGAGCCTATTAACTAGGAGGAAGGGACTCAGAGGTCGCCAAGTCCCTCAGTGGTCACTGGGTGCCTAGCTAGGTGCCAGCACATATCCATGTATCGTGTCACTCCATCCTCACAACTAACCAGGGTTAAGTTACGAACCCCATTTTTTTGTTTTGTTTTGTTTTTTTGTTTTTGAGGCAGGATCTCATGTAGCCCGGGCTGGCCTCAAACTCTATCTAGTCAAGTGTGACTTTGAACTTCCAAGCTCCCTCTTTTGCCTCCCCAGTGCTGGGATTACAGGTGTAAGATACCATGTTCAGTTTATGAGGTGCCAGGGATTGAACCCAGGGCTTCATGATTGCGAAGTGAGCACCCAACCCACTGAGCTATACACCCGGCCTCCTGAGGAACATTTTGTAGATGTCTCTCTTTTAGACCACAATGTTCATGAGTCATCCAAGGAGTGAAGGTTCTAGAAGCCTGGAGTGCTTGTAGTAGGGGTGCTCTGTCTGTCTGGCTTCCCGGGGTCTCCTCTCTAGAGTCCACCTGTATTTACACCTCACCCTGGAGGAACCAGGATCCATTGCAGCAGTGCGAAGGCCAGCAGCCACCCATGCTGGCCATATCACCTGCAGAAGTCTACCCTTCAGTGACATTGCATGCCACCCACCCACAAGGTCACTGTGACAGCATCCCTTCCTTCTTGTGGGGTCTGCACCCAGTGACTCAGCAACTGTCAATCAAAATTGGGAAGGGTGTGATGATACATGAGCACATGGGTGTTGGGTGTCCTTGCCCATGTATGTCCTTGCCCATGTATGTCCTTGCCCATGAATGTACTTGCCCATGTATGTACACAGAGCCCAAGGAAGGTGGCAGGTGTCTTCTATCACTCTTGGCCCAGTGGCAGGGTCACTCCATGAACTGGAAGCTTGAGTTTGCAGCTAGGTTGGTAGCCAGCAAGCTCCGGAAGTCTTCCTTTCTCTGCCCTCTGTGCTGGGCACACTCAGAGCATATCCAGTTTTTACAGGGGTGCTAGGATCTGAACTCCAGTACTCACATTTGCATGGCAGGTTCTTTTAACTACTGAGCCATCTGTCCAGCTCAAAGAGATTTTAGTTTTATTTTTCCATGTTTGTGTGTGTGTGTGTGTGTGTGTGTGTGTGTGTGTGTGTGTGTGTACATGTTTGCATGTGTGATGAGTGCATGTTTGTGGAAGCACCTGCATGTGACATTGAGTGTCATCCTCAATCGCTCTTCCACTCTGTTCATGGAGGCAGGGTCTCTTAATCAAACCCTGAGTTTGCTGATATTACTAGTCTGTCTACCCAGCTTGTTCCAGAGAATTCCAGGTGGGTCACCACCCCTACCCAGCATTTACATGGATTTGGGAGATTTGAACTCCAGTTCTCAGGCTTGCACCACAAGCTCTTTAAGCACTGAGCCATCTCCCCAGCCCTGAGAGGTTTTGTTTGTTTGTTTTTAATTATGCTTCCCCCCCAGCCGGGCGGTGGTGGTGCATACCTTTAATCCCAGCACTTGGGAGGCAGAGGCAGGCGGATTTCTGTGAGTTCGAGACCAGCCTGGTCTACAAGAGCTAGTTCCAAGACAGCTTCCAAAGCCACAGAGAAACCCTGTCTCGAAAAACAAAAAACAAAAAACAAAAAACAAAACAAAACAAAATTATGCTTACCCCAAATCCACAACTTTCTTCAAATATGTCTGTGTCAAGGCCAGTTTCCAAAATCACAGGCCCTCACAATCTAGGCTTATCTGTGACCCCGCCCAGATCCTTTCTCAGTGTCTCAGAGACCCTCCAATTGAGTTGAGGACATTCAATGCCCGGGTCCCCTTTGTGCCACAAGGGTGTGACAGCTAACAGTGAGGCAGGATGGAACCCCAGATTTTGGAGTACCAAGAGCCTCCTGGAATACTGAGGAGAGGGACTGAGGCTGTGGACAGAGTTCAGGCCACCTCCATCAAAGTCATTGCACAGTCAGTCCACCACAGCTGCTCACAGAGGCCTCTGGGTGGAGATGAAACTGAAAGACTGGCTGTAATTTCATGCCTATCATATCCTGCTATGTGCTGGGAAAAGACATTTGGGAGGCCCGGGAGCGAATACTCAGGGCGTGTGCTGCACACAGCCATTAAAATGTTTTTATCCAAGCTGCCGACAAATCGTGAGCCAATTTGAGAGCTGCGTGCTGTGCTCTGGGAATATGTTACCCCCAGTCATGGGAGGATGGTAAAGCTGCTTCCTGGGGGTACAGGTCATAGGGGTGTGTTAAGGAGCTTGCGTTACAAGCAATTAAACATAATGAGGCCTGGGCTCTTTGCCCCCACCGAGGCTGAAGCCTTCCTCCCGAGTGGCCAGGGGCAGCACCTCAGCTGTAGGTCATGGCATCTTGCCGGTGCTGGTCCCAGCTCAATGCACACACCAAGGCTGATCACGTGACCCTACAAGGGCTCTTACAGACATAGCTGTCCTTGTTTTACAGAGCAGGGAACAGAGGCTATGATAGTTAAGAGACCTGCCATGTGAGTGACACAGCCTAGGGCTAAGAGGTCCTATCTGGTCTGCATTGTCCACAGCTAGCAGCCCTAATTCTATCCAGACTCCCAAGGGAACACCCCTACCTTTGTCATAGGTTGTCTGTAACCAAATACCCACCATCCTAGGGTATAGGACACAGGCCTCACTCACAGAGCCCAGGCAGGAGCATCTGGCACTGGAATCTGTTAAAGTCATATGGGGTTGTGGTACCCAGGTGAGGACATAGGGGTGTAGGTAGAGTTTTCTTTCCTAGCCACCAGTCCCAAGTAACCACACAGAGGCTTATATTAATTACAAATGCTTGGTTGATAGCTCAGGCTTATTACTAACTAGCTCTTACAACTTAACCCGTTTCTATTAACCTGCGCATTGCCAAGTGGCTCATGGCTTTACCTGTCCTACCTTGTTCCCTCTGTGTCTCCTGGTAACTTCACTGACTCTGCCCCTCTTCCTCACCGCATTCTCAGTTTGGCTGTCCCACTTACACTTCCTGAATGGGTACCAGCCAGTCAGTTCTTTATTAACCAATGAGAGTAATACATATTCAAAGTGTACAGAAGGATTATTCCACCGCATAGGGGTCTGGAAGAAGGAGAGGAAACATCCACCCTGCCTCCATTCCCATTGCCTCATCCCCATCTGCTGCCTAGAACAACCCTTTTCACTCAACCCCTCCTAACAGAGCACTGGACTTGGAGTCCTGCAGTCCAGGTGATGAACTCCAATTAAGTTAGTGTCTACTTTTGACACTGGTGGTCCATGTCATCCAAAAAAATTTAAAGGTTAATAATACATAATGTCTTATTTTAAAGACAGGGTCTCATGTAGCCTAAGCTGGCCTCAAATTCATTGTGTAGCCAGCAATGACCTTGAACTTCTCTTTTAAAAATGCATTCATTTTTATTTTATGTGTATAAGTGTTTAAACTGAACTGGAATCCAGATGCAGAGAAGGATGAGTGAAGAGAAAGG